CAGAAGGAGAGAGAGAGAGCGAGCAAAATTATATTTCTAACCTTTGCATCAGACCAGATGTTGGGATATGATGCCCATGAGAGACTTAAGGTGAAAAGTGAGGCTCTTTGTATGCAATCTAGTATAAAACCCATGCCAAGTTTCCCTCTTCAGGCATTCTAGCTGTAAAAACTATTACGGCAGCAGCCTCTAAGCCTTCCATCAGAAGTGGTACTACCAGAAGACCACTCTAATGCCCAAAATGGCAATAGCTGGGCACGTAATGGTGTGATATCTAGCACTAGTGCTGCAGCTAATCTAAAAGTTAGAGATGTCAACATATTGAAAAGGGTACATTTCAAAGAAGCATCCACTGAAAATATATATTTTTCATGCAACTATACATAGAAGTTTCCCCTCCCTGGTCTACACTACAAAATATAACATCAAATTTTGTCCAACAAGATAGTGCCTTACCTCACTCAGTGAACCTGCTTACACCTGTACATCAAGCTTTCAAGTGCTATGGTACAGCTGGCTAGTTCAATCGTATCTTGGTCCTTGTATGCGTCTAGCTATAGACATTTTAATATCTTCCCCACCCCTTTCAAAGACAGTCTACTGTATATATGACTGAAAACCGCACACTCCATTCTAATGGAAGGAGTTTCCATTAAATTAGCATGGATCTTTAAAAGTCAGCAGAGACTACAATGGCTGATTCAGGAAACGGATCTTTCCGACAGCTTCCATGCGCTACCATAAAGCACGTACTGCATGCAATTTATTTTTTTTTGTTACGAGCTATCGTTTTTAGGAGGTATCCAATCAACTCAACAGGCCAGAGGGCTGTTTGACTTAGTCTGACTATCAACCAATGTTCCTTGGTAAGATTTTATGCTTGTAAGACGCATATATTAGCAGCAGGGCTGATTCAAGACAACGCTGACAGCTTCTGCAGAGCTATTCATTTGGATGCATACCTGCTCCTACCCCCGCAAAAAAACCCAGTCATCAGTGGGCTACTACCCATTTCAATTTCTTTGACCCACACCTGCCTTAATATCTTTTTATGACAGAGAAGAAAAATCAGTGGGTAGTATGGCCATAACTAATGTGGACATTTGTGCAGGAAGTCAGGGAATTATTTGCTGTCAGATCATTACTGAACAAGAGGGAGAGCAGTTATGTAGG